CATACGAGCTCCGTTTTTGGCATTCTTTATATGCACGCATAGGTAAAATCATACTCTACGACTTTCGTTTAGACTTCGTCGGCTAATTTTGAATTTATTTTTAATATTATTATTTTAAACAGACCGGGACGGGAACCCGTTAAAAATTCATAACTTCTTCATCCGACGTCCGTTTTCGTCTGTCTTTTTACCGTTGTGCTACTTTTGACGAGACCTTCGATTCTCGTTAAGTTGCGTCGGCTAAATATCGATCGATTTATATTTCGAATTTTTAGCTGTCTACTGCTAAACCGAAACTTTGAAAAAATCAAACTTCCTCATACAAAGTCAGATTTTTACGTTCTTTTTATGAACGTTCTCGGTTTAACATATTCTACAACTTTCATTTAGATTGTTAAGGCTAAAAATCCTTTTATCGAAAATTCGTTTTTTACACTGAACAGTGTTTGCCGGTTTTACCGTGGATTTCGATTGGTCATAATTCTTCGTTATAACTCGGTTTTCAGTGTTCTTTATGTTTTTGGAAACCTTGTTACAAACTCTACCACTTGGTTCATCCCAATTACAATTATTGATCAATTTATTTTTGACCAAAATTTGACTGGTGTCACAAGGAGACCTATTCAAAACGTGTCTAATTCAATAACCTTGTTGACCAGATAAGATTAAGTAATTTTTAATGCATAAACCGATTGTAAGCAGTGCAATAAAACTTGTACCTATATATATATATATATATATATATATATATATATATATTATATATATATATATATATATATATTATATATTTGGTTCAAATGTTTTCTCTCATCTATTGTGTGTTAGAATGCACCAATAAGAATTTAGTAAAATTTATATATATATAAAAAGCCTCATAGTGAAGCCTCATAGTGATAATCTAAAAAGCCTTGGAATTGTGTCATATGGAGGTATAGAGTTTCCAAGTTGGGTTGGGGATCCTTCCTTTGGTCGGCTGACTCGTGTTTCGATAAGTGGTTGTAAAAACTGTACATCTCTGGCGTCACTTGGGCAGTTACCATTACTTAAGAAGTTGGTTATCAAAGGGATGGATGGGGTAAAAGTTGTGGGTTCAGAGTTGCTTGGGACTGGTCTTGCATTCCCTTCACTTGAAAATCTAAGTTTTGAAGATATGAAAGGGTGGGAGGCATGGTCAACCAGTAGTGGGATACTTGTGGACACATCATTTCCATGCCTTCAAACACTTTGGTTAAAAGGTTGTCCTAATTTGGTTAGAATCTCACTTGAAATGTTACCTTCACTAAGGGTTCTAGGAATTCATGGTTGTGGTCATGAGGTGTTAAGAAGTTTGATTGGTGTAGCTTCATCGATCACCAATTTGTATATAAGTTATATTTCAGGACTTAACGATCAGGTGTGGGGAGGTGTTATAGAGTATCTTGGGGCAGTTGAAGTAGTAATCATTGAAAATTGTAATGAAATAAGTTATTTGTGGGAATCTGAAGCAAAAGCAAGTAAGGTTCTTGTGAATTTAAGGAAGTTGGAAGTAAACTATTGTTCAAATTTAGTGAGTTTAGGAGAGAAAGAGGATGATAATTGTGCGGGCAACCTAACATCTCTTGCGAGCTTGACCTTAGGGGGTTGTCACAGCTTAGATCATTGCATCTGTCCAAATAGCGTCAAGTTACTTTGCATCTGGGGTTGTTATAAATTTTTTGAAAATGGGTTGGTAGGAGCACAGGAGAAGCCTCTGATCAACTCAAACATACGCATGCTTGAATCTCTAAATATAAGAGATTGGCTAAATCTGAAATTGATCACTGAATTGAGTTCCTTCAATCACCTCAGGCAACTCTTAATTGTCAATTGTCCAAAGATGGAGTCATTTCCTGACCACGAGTTGCCGAATCTCATGGTGTTAATAAAATTGGAAATACTAGGTTGTGAAAGCATGGATGCTTCCTTTCCTCGTGGGCTTTGGCCTCCACAATTGTCTTCTCTTAAAATAGGGGGGGTGATGAAGCCCATTTTAGAGTGGGGCCCACAAACTTTTCCAACATCACTTGTTCACCTAGCATTATATGGCAGACCATATGATTATGTGAGTAATTTCAGTCAGTTGTCCCATCTTCTTCCTTCATCTCTTACTTCTCTTGAAATACATGGATTCGATAAAGTGGAATCAGTTTCAATGGGACTCCAACACCTCACCTCCCTCCAGCATCTCTCCATTGGCCACTGCCCAAGGTTGATAGATCTACCAGAAATGTTGCTGCCTTCACTCTTGAGCTTGGCAATTGTTGGATGCCCAAATCTGAAAGAAAGGAGTAGTAAAAGAGGCTCCTACTGGCCCCTCGTCTCGCGTATCCCCTGCTGCATTGACATCTCGTGAGGAGTTGCAAAGTTAATCTAGAAGGTATGCTTCTCCCTCTGCCTTTGATAAATTATAAATAATAAATATAATAATTGATTTTCCTTTCATTCAATCAACAAAATGCAAGTATTATCTTTACTATTATATAAAGCATTTTAAACATTTCTTGATATTTAAGAGGTGTCACTCCTACTTCCTGTACAATCAACTTATGCTTACCATTCAATACACATATTACATTTCCGTTTCAGAAACTAATCACATTAAACATTAATGCTTCATAAATAATCAAACGATACTCTTCAATCAATTAAATGACTTTCCTTCTTTATTCTCCCAATCACGCGTTGTTATCTCCAACCTTCCCCCATTAAACTCACACTCGGTTTATCTAGCCATTTCAATTTCAAAATTTGAATCCTCAAATCTCATGTTCTCTGTTTACAAAGTTCCAAGGAATATGAACACATAATAAAAAAATTTATGGCTTAGGTAAAATTTCTACAATATTCTGTCTTTGAATGTTGCTTTTTTTCTTACCATAGACCTAATTGGATTTCTTGTTAAAATAATGTGCCCTCAATGGAAATAATGGTAATTTTGGGGTCTATCTTCTCCACATCCTGATCACATTATTAAACGCCACCATGGTAATCCTCCATTCCATTTCTCTCTATAAATTTTCTTCTTTGAACCACGATTTTAGGGTTTTAGATGCGGCCTCATCTGCCAAGCATGTCAAAGAAAGCATGTCAATAAAAATTGGTGAACACGGGGGGCATAGTCAAAATTTTATATTTTTGGGCCTAATATATATAAAATTAAAGTATAGGGACTACTTCTGCCAAAAAAATCAGAAGGGGGCACAGCCCCCCCTAGTATCAACATAAGCATGTATATAATACAAAAAAATGTTTCGTGTCAATATATGGTTGTAAACATGGGCAAGCAGTTTTATAGCTTTATTAACTCATCTTTCTTTCTAAAATTTGGCAGGCCACTTTAATTGAGAAATTAAAATCACTTTCAATGGGACTCCAACACCTCACTTCCCAAACATGATGATACAAAAAAAAAGGGGGTAGGCCCCTCCCTCTGCCTTTGACTTCTTTTTGGTTTATATACACATAAATCTAATAATACATTTTGCTTGCACTATATAAGCAGACCCAAGAAATTTTCTGTTTATCAATTTTTTTTGTCTTAATATCAGGAAGTTCGTTTGTTAAAAAATATAATTTAATTGTGAACATGGAAAGACTATGATGGATTGCAAAATATTAGAACAAAATGATCAACAAGTTAAGTAGATTTGAAATTTCGTTTGTGAAATTGGAATGATTTGGAATTACTCATGAAAAACCAACTTTTACTCTTGTGAAGTTGATGGGACAGATTAAATCTGGTACACTTATTAGTATTATCAATTATTATTCACAATAATAATACTTAGCTCCTTTATTGGAATATCATGTACTTTTTCTGAGATTAGACCATTTCATGTTTGTCGGGTGGAAAATGAGATGATATGCATCATATATATTCAGTGTAGATCTACCAAAGTTCAAGTAAATAAATATTCATGATTTACGTGTCACATCATCCCATTTGCATTTAAAAGGAACTTTTAATTTTCATGACTCAAGGTATTCTAAAGATTTCATAAATATGTGAGACTTGTTTAAGATTAACATTTTAATTTTCTGGTTCTGATTTTTGTTTTAACTTTCAAGTGCAGACAAGTGTGAGCAGAAACCGACATATCCCTGCTATCAGCATATGCTTCTCCACAAGTACATAAATCAACTTTCAAGAGGTGATCCAGATATTTTGTTCACCGTCAACGAGTTGTATATGAAATATTAGAAGCTCATCTATATGTGTATATAAAGGAAAAATACATAAATAAAAGGAGATTTATTAATTGTATATATTTAACAAAGTAGAAAGGAGAAATTATTTTTATTACCATTTATTTGCAAGAGTTTTTCAAATTAACAGAGTGAGTTGTATTTGAATGCTGAAGGCGGATGAGTTTTGAGGTGCTCTCTCTTCGTTTTTCTTTTGGTTTAGTAGTTCATCGAGCTTCCCTCTTTATATTTATTTTAGTTACAACTTTTAGCTACCTGTTTTTTTCACTTTACAAATGTTTATCTAAAGAGGGAACTAACCAGGAGTATATCCATGTGATTTGACACATGGTCAGGGATTGATAACGTAGGATGAGAGACTTGAAATTTTCGTAGCATGCTTGTTAATTTGCCTACAAGGTTGGGTTTTTAATTTAACCAACTATAGCATTGTACTTTAAAATTTTATTTCTTATCAGGTCAATACTTCTAAAAGTTACTATAATAACAAATTAACGAAAGTACGTTGCTATTTTTATTTGGACAAAACACTGCTACAACTGAACACATTTTTCAAAGTACAATGCTGTAATATGACTATGAACATAGGATGATATAATAACAAATCAGTATGTTGCTATTTTTGCATATAACCCTGATCATTAATAGATATAATTTGGTTATAATAACTAAAAGAACATATTAGGGTCAACGAGCATGTGTTATCCTGGAGCTTTTAGGCCATACTGTGTCACCAAAGTCTGTATTCATGCATTTAATGAAATGACAGAGGTTTCATCCCCATAAGAAACTCTAATTTGTAAATTAATTGAAATGATTTTCCAAATTTAATCATGATTTCGCAACAACTGATCCTCGGTATACTTATGCTAAATAATATGAGTCCAAGTGTGATATTGCAATGATGGAAACAACAATTTTGTGCATACCTCATACGCATGAAAAAAAATTGATAAATGGGTTAATATTCAAGAAAATCCTTAAACGGGGCAAATAGGGACATATATACCCCATCAAGAAATACACATTAATTGATTGCCAAAAGACTAGCTATTAACCGTAGAGTGCATTTGCATGTTATCCTTGTTTCAACTCATAACTTCAGTCAAGCATTTTATCAAACACATATCATGCATGCAAAACTTTCAAATAGAGGCTCGTTCAAGTCGAATTATAAGCAAATAAATTGAAAATGATTGTTGAAACTTGGAAGGTAATATCGGAAAAGGTTTTTGTGATATAGAAAAAGAAAACCGTAGTTACCATGATGTCCATGAGGACAGAACAGGAACGCCACCAACCATGTGTGATGCATCAAACCTCTAAAATATGTTGTTATTCTTTTGCCCCTTTCCTAGTATACTAATAACAAAACGGATTTTCCAATGTATAAACTAAAAATTCCTAACGGCTTTGGCTATGTCTTTTTAATGTTACCGTGCCGAATCCAACATAACACATTTTTTCTTGATAACAGTGAAAGCATTTTTGTTTTTGATTTAAAATGTGTTGTCATTTTTATTTTATAAGCTGAGATTTTTTTTTTTGTTTTCTTGCTTTTTAATTAAGAAAATGTCATTACTATTTATCTTGATGCACTCTGCTTCACTTTAATAATATATAACAAGGTGGATATGAGGCCATGCTTTCTAGCTTATAATTGTTGAAACAACTCTTGTCAAATGTATATGTACCTCATATCCTTTATTTATAGGTAAAATTATATGAAGTTCATTTATTGAATATAGTTAATTTGGAAAGTAAATAATATATGTTGTAGTTGGTACCTATTTTTTGTTAACAAACTTAGTGGACCACAAAATTATTACAATTTAATAGTTAATCTTACATCATTCAATGTTGTCTTAAATATTCTTCCACACACACATGTGTATATATATTATATATATATTATATATAGATATATATAGATATTATATATATATATATATATATATATATATATGGTGGGTGAGTGGTGGTGGTTATGGGTTGTGGGTGATGGTGGTGGGTGGTGATATTGGGTGGTGGTGGGTCGTAGTAGATGGTGTGATAGTTGGTGGTGATGATATGTGGTGGTGGTGTTGGGGGGTGCCGGTGGGTGGTAGTGAGTGGTCGTGATTGGTGGTGATGGGAGGTGGTTGTGGTGGTGGTGGATAGTAGGTGTTAGTGACGTCTAGTGGTTGTAGTGGGTGGAGGTGGTGGTGGTGGGTAGTGGTGGATGGTGTTGGTTGGGGGGTTTTTTAATCGGTTTTTGTTTTATATAAATATTATTTTATCATTTTAAGGAAAAAAATTAAAGGTGCCAATTTTGTTATTGCATTCTCTAATTAAGAATCGAACTAATTTGAACGACCATCTCTCTCTCTCTCTCTCTCTCTCTCTTTCTCTCTCTCTCTCTCTCTCTCTCTCTCTATATATCTATATATATATATAGATATATATTATATATATATATATATATATATATTCACCTCTAATAAATGAAAAAATCTTTTTTCCACATGTCATACTCTAATTGATTTGGCCACATATCCTTATGTGGTTATTTTCAATTAAAATTTTTCCACATGACATTTTGTGGTTTTTTTCAATTTATTAAATTTCACATAATATTTTAATGTAATAAGTGCAATAAATATAATAATAAATGCATATCAATTTCAATATTTGACTATCCTTTTAATTTCAACATTTTTAAATTAAAACTTCATTAGTTTCTTTGTTTTTATCTAAATTATTGTTTAAATTAAAAAAGAAAAAAAAACACTTTAATTTTAATAATTCAATATTTTTCTATTTTTCTTATAATTCAAACTTTTTCAATGTGTAGACTTTTCATATTTTTTTAAATGACCCCTGTAATACATGGGTCTTATACCTCAGCATCTATATATATATATATAAATATATATATAATCTATATATATAATATATATATATATATATATATATATTATGAAGGGATGGGTTCAATGAAGAAATAGTTTTAAACCATGGAAGTAAGGAACCAATCGTGATTGTTACAAAATGATCAAGAGCCAAAAAATGGGTGCACAATTTTATAATGTTTTAATGTTTTGATTTCTCATAAATTAGTTTCGTAAAATCTGCAATTGAGTTACTCACAAGTGAATTTATTCATAT